GATTGTGCTGGTTTGGATTAGTCCTCTTGGTCAGCAACTGCGGGTTTCCCCGTATTTTTGCATATTTAAATTCGTTATGTGTCAGATGTGGATTAGTGATTCTAGCTAACCCCTTTGATTTATGGCGGGCATTGTGCACGAAGCGGAACATGTTCGCAGTCACGCTGAGTGCTCGAGAGAAAGAAGAAAAGCGATCAAGAAAATTTATCTCTTCTTCGATAGCGTGATATACCTCCACCTTGCGCTTTTCTGGTCGAGATGCTCTGCATGCAAAATGGCCATGCATCCATGTGGCAAGGGAGCCATTTTGGTCCGTGCCACCAGAGTGGGGAATTCGCCAAATACCGAGGTTGGCTGGATTATCTTGGCTGGCCACATGGCGCCATGTACCGGTTGGAAAATATTCTCGGATTTGGGAGGTACGATTGGGTACATATGGGTGTTTCCAGCGGAAGGTCCACCACGACAAAAAAAATAAAAGTTTTATATCTAACGCATTTACGGGCCTATTTGTCTGCTTTTTAAAATATATACTGGCTATGTAAGTAACGGGTGATTTTTTAAGAGCTTGATAACTTTTTTTTTAAAAAAAACGCATAAAATTTGCAAAATCTCATCGGTTCTTTATTTGAAACGTTAGATTGGTCCATGACATTTACTTTTTGAAGATAATTTCATTTAAATGTTGACCGCGGCTGCGTCTTAGGTGGTCCATTCGGAAAGTCCAATTTTGGGCAACTTTTTCGAGCATTTCGGCCGGAATAGCCCGAATTTCTTCGGAAATGTTGTCTTCCAAAGCTGGAATAGTTGCTGGCTTATTTCTGTAGACTTTAGACTTGACGTAGCCCCACAAAAAATAGTCTAAAGGCGTCAAATCGCATGATCTTGGTGGCCAACTTACCGGTCCATTTCTTGAGATGAATTGTTCTCCGAAGTTTTCCCTCAAAATGGCCATAGAATCGCGAGCTGTGTGGCATGTAGCGCCATCTTGTTGAAACCACATGTCAACCAAGTTCAGTTCTTCCATTTTTGGCAACAAAAAGTTTGTTAGCATCGAACGATAGCGATCGCCATTCACCGTAACGTTGCGTCCAACAGCATCTTTGAAAAAATACGGTCCAATGATTCCACCAGCGTACAAACCACACCAAACAGTGCATTTTTCGGGATGCATGGGCAGTTCTTGAACGGCTTCTGGTTGCTCTTCACTCCAAATGCGGCAATTTTGCTTATTTACGAAGCCATTCAACCAGAAATGAGCCTCATCGCTGAACAAAATTTGTCGATAAAAAAGCGGATTTTCTGCCAACTTTTCTAGGGCCCATTCACTGAAAATTCGACGTTGTGGCAGATCGTTCGGCTTCAGTTCTTGCACGAGCTGTATTTTATACGGTTTTACACCAAGATCTTTGCGTAAAATCTTCCATGTGGTCGAATAACACAAACCCAATTGCTGCGAACGGCGACGAATCGACATTTCACGGTCTTCAGCAACACTCTCAGAAACAGACGCAATATTCTCTTCTGTACGCACTGTACGCATTCGTGTGGTTGGTTTAATGTCCAATAAAGTAAACTGAGTGCGAAACTTGGTCACAATCGCATTAATTGTTTGCTCACTTGGTCGATTATGTAGACCATAAATCGGACGTAAAGCGCGAAACACATTTCGAACCGAACACTGATTTTGGTAATAAAATTCAATGATTTGCAAGCGTTGCTCGTTAGTAAGTCTACTCATGATGAAATTTCAAAGCATACTGAGCATCTTTCTCTTTGACACCATGTCTGAAATCCCACGTGATCTGTCAAATACTAATGCATGAAAATCCTAACCTCAAAAAAATCACCCGTTAGAATCATGTTTGCATAAAATGGTCTTCCTAGGTGGTGCCAAGGTCGAGATATTTCGAAAAACCGTATTTATGGTCCGATTTGGTTCGAATTTGGCGTATGTGGTTGAAACATAATAAATCATAGATTTCTAATAAATTGACCCTGAATTGGCGCTGAAGTCAAAATATAAAGTATATTCTAGATAAAATACATGTTTTATTTGCGTTGAAAATTCATTTAAAAGCAATATTAACAAAAATGTCACGTGACGCCACGTCACGTCACGTTTCACACTTGGGGTTGTAAAAGAGAATTGAAACAATTTGCATTAATTCAAAAAACTCTAAAAACAACTAGAATTGCTCCAAATCATATTAAAATAAGTTTCATGAAAATAGCCATCCACAATTCGCAGAGTTTTGCGATTTTGTAAGAAAAGAAAAAATCAACTTCCATTTTTTGTCACGTTACGACACTCTCTTTAAATGCTTATATTTCAGGACCAAGCAGTTCGATTGATTTCATTTTTCGGTTGAATATAGAGCTAATTATGTGCTATACAATGGCTCAAAAAAGTTAAAGAAAACAAATGGTATTCCTTTTTTGTATCGCATTGAAATCGTACGACTGTCACGTGCGCCACCATGGAAATGCCCATATGTCTGTCACCAAATATTATAATATGTGACCTGGTCTACGGAAAGGGGGCTTAGGTGTCAAAAAATCAATTTTCACTTTTTGGTGGATTCGGATGGAAGATGAGATGCTTTTTCACGTGGTGAAAAGCAGAAAATCCTAACTTGCTTAGAAGTGTACTAAAAATGTAGAGAAAGAAGAGTAAAAATACGACAAAATATAATTTATTGGAAATGAACAAAATACATTGAATTATAAGCTATAAAGACATGATTATACACTAGAAAAACGTATTATGGGCCAAAAATAATAATAAATTTTGTTACCAGCTCCTCCTCCTTTACATCAACAACATACAGGTCCATCTTAACAAAAGTTTGTTCGGTATCATCTACTGCCTGAGATAAACATAATTCGTCTTCATCATCATCGCTCTCTTCATAGTTTTCATCATCGTTTTCATCATCCTTTTCATGGAAATATTGTCCGTATACGGCACTGAACTCCTCATCAACACTCATGTTTCATTTCATGCGAAATGCGAAGACGATAATCAACAGAAACAGTAAACGTCACTTCTTCAGTGTTACTTTTTTAAATGTCCCACACTAGCAACTTCCACGATGAACTATAATAATATTCCGACCAACAACAACACTTACTGGACCAACAACAACACTTACTGGACCAACAACAACACTTACTGGACGAGATAATGAGAAACTGACGAAACGAGTTGCTTACTTTTAACAGCTTTTTCACAGAAAACTAGTTTTCGCACGTAAGCTCCCTTTTCGTAGACCAAGTCACATATTCTTAAAAATACTACGTGAGCAACCAAATATTTTTTGCAGAGAGATTACAGCTTTCGAAGGTTCTGATTTTGTGGTATTGTTATTATGAATGGTCATTTCGCACTGAATATATCCAAAAATGACAGATGTCAGCTGCTCATTCATCAAAAATCCATCGAAATATTCCGCCATGGAAATAAGTAAAAAAACGCAAGTATATAAAAGGGGATGAAACCCACTTTATAATAGATATATGGCGTGAAAACATACAAAAACTCAGAGGTGTACATAAGAACGGTCATATTTACCAAAATATGTGTGCAGAGCTACAACGGCGTCACTATATTGTGCTGTCCGCTAAAGAGCTCCGCACACGGATTAATAACTTGACCCAAAAGTTCAGGTAAGATTTATTATTAAATTTAAGTATGTGAGAACGTTCTAATAAATACATTAACCTGGCAGGGAAGAAAAAAGAAAAATGGGAAGTAGCGGAGGAATTCCTTCTTTTTGGAAGCACTATAGCGAGTTAAAATAGGCTCCTTCAAAAGTAATAATGCCTCTGAAGCAATGGAAGAGAGTTTAAATTTCTGTAAGTATTGAATTATTATAATTTAAACTAGCAACACCCGGCGCGCGTTGCTACGCCAAAGAAAGACACATTATTTAGAGTTTTGAAACTGAAGACCTTTTTATTTACCTTAATGCTAACAGATAAACAATATTTTAAGTTTTTTCATTTAGTGTGTAAATATATAAATTTTGTCGTGACCCAACTCGTGAACAGGCGACGTATAATTGGCCATGTGAAAAGCAGAAATTTTTCAAATCCAAACCCGCAATAGTTAATGATTGCCCTTGTGCTTTATTTATAGTTATAGCAAAGGCAAGACGCAAAGGGAATTGAAGCCGCTTGAATTCGAACGGTAAATCGTTGGAAATCATCGGTACACGTGGAATCAGCACATCTTCGCCTTTGAATTTACCGCTGATGATTGTTGCCTCGATTAAATTCGGTGTTAATTTTTTTATTATCACTCTGGTTCCGTTGCACAGTTTCGGCGCGTTCAAGTTCCGAATAAGCATCACTGGTGATCCAACTTTTAACGCCAACGAATGAGGAGGCATTCCAGGTGGCTCCAAAGAATTAAGAAATTCAGTTGGGTAATTAACAGCTTGATCTTTGTCCATTACTGTATCAATCGATTTATATTCGACTGCTTCTCCTGGAATTTTCAATTGAATTTGACCGTTTAATTTACTAACATCATCGTTCTTCGGAGCTAAAATTGCACGGTCGCGGAGCCATTCCGGATTTCGGTAGTTGATCGTTAAGTTCGGAAATACTCTGTCGATGACGTCTTGAATGCTCTGCTGCATTTGACAACAGTTGGACGAAAATGATATCTCATTTGTTGTGCGATCAATATGAACTTTACCGTTTCCGATATCTAAAAGTTGCTTTGAAAATATTTGGGCAGACGTATCTTGCAGCAAATGCACTCGCATATTTGTTGTAAGCGTAATTTTTTCGACATAGTTCCACAGATGCGATGCCTTTAAGCACGCGTTCAGCTCGTCTGCAGGCGTTGATCGTGGTATAACGGGTAATGTTTGACGAAAATCACCTGCAAGGAGTATAAGAGCGCCTCCCATCGGTTGGTCTTTTCCACGAAAATCTCGCAGAGTTCGGTCAAGTGCTTCGAGCGATTTCTTATGTGCCATGGTGCATTCGTCCCAAATTATAATTTTGCACGTTTTAAGGACTATGGCCATACCAGAGTTTTTGCTGATGTTACATGTAGGTGTTTCGGTCTGGTGCAAATTCAATGGAAGCTTAAGTGCTGAATGCGCTGTACGTCCTCCATCAAGTAGTGTTGATGCAATCCCCGATGATGCTACTGCTACTGCAATCCCATTTCGCATTCGAACTGACGCCAATATTAAATTGATGAGGAAAGTTTTCCCGGTACTTCCTGGAGCATCTAGGAAGATAATTCCGCCATCTCCTTTGGTTACACGTTGCATGATTTTGTCATAAGCTTTTTTCTGATCGTCAACTAAAAACTCTTTTTGCGTTTGCACAAATCGTTCAAGCTGATTTGCATCAAACTGCTGTTCTCGCATCAAGTCTCTGTCTTGTACAGCATTTCTATCTCGTGTCAGTGCTGGCATACCGAGTTGACAAAGAGCTTTGTTGTTGATTGACATGCATAAGTCCTCCATTAATATTAAAGCTTCATTGAAAATGTCATCCGAATATTCCTGACTTGGATCGCTTGTACGTGCTTGTCTTAGAATATCTTCACTGAGGCTTTCCCGATGCATTCCCCACAGTTGTCGAGGATTCGATGGTGCGCATGTTGTTAAAATTATCGCAAACAAAGTTCGTATTTGCTTTGGATGGCATGTGAGTGATGCTTCAGTCAGAGTTGTGTTCCAATTCTGATCATTCTCAAGTAAGCCCAGTTTAAAGCACGCTTCTCTGTACGTTTGGCATTCTACTCCGTCGATGGTTTTCAATGTAAGGAACGATGTCGGCCCTTTGATTGTATGCAGCAACAACCGCAAATAATAGCACTCGGCGTTATTTGGATGAACAGTATACACACGTCCCAATGCATCGGACGAATATATACCAGGATGCTCTGGAACAATTGCACCTCTTTTTCTTCTGTTGAACTTTTTTGTCGATGTGTTCCAAGTATAATATTTGGGCACATCTTGATACAGCAACGTTTTAGCAAAATTTTCGGATGTACACAATTCGAAAAAAGCAGTCAGTGTTGTGTTTTGTGGTTGCTCCACTCTATTTTGCGCATTTTCTTCGGTGAAGTAAACCCGCTGACCATTTTCCAAATGAACAGCGAGATGTTGAACCGTTGGATATCGTTCGTGAATATTGAATGCAAATATCCGCCATACTGCTTCGTTACTGCTGATGTAGCGCCCTGTTTGATATTGCGTGATCTCATCACCTCGATTTGCTAATCCGAATACTGCCATGTCACTGCCCTTGTTAACATATTTACAAATATATTTGGTGGACTTTACTGAATTACAATACTCAACATTGATGTGAGCATTAAACATTTTTGAAAGTAGTGGCGAGTATGGCACGATCCATCTATTGTCTATGTCGATATCTACACTTCGCATCTTAATAGTAGTTGTGTATCCACCATTAGTGGGATTTCTTCGCCTATACAGAGGATATCCATCACCTCCAGTTTGAGTTTCAGTAATCAACTCACGTGGATATCGCTTTGTGCATTTGCCGTTTTGCATACATGGTTAATTAGGATTAAAAGTACCGCATGGCCCATGAATCATATTTTTCTTGATTATTTCAAAAAGAATGGGATCTTCGGCTTGATTTGGAAGCTCGGCTGATATAACGCTATCAATTTGTGTAGGTATAATTTTTTGCTTCAACCAAATCAAAATGTGAGCGTGTGGTAAGCCTCTCTTTTGCCATTCAATTGAGTACATCCAGCATCTGGTTTCTCCAAAAAAAAAAAATTCTTCGTGATGACATTCATAACACTTATTAGCTTTTGCTTGAATATTCGAGCGAGAAGATCATGTCTGTGCGATGAGCTCTGGCCTGCAAAAAGCAATTCGGTTATTTCACTCCACGATGGATTGCAAGTGAAGGTGATGAATAGGTCTGGTCGTCCATACTTTCGAACGTACGTCATAGCATCTTGCCCGTATTCGTGCAGGTGCATATATGTTACAGGTAAAATTACCATTTGTCCAATGTCAGCAATGTTTCCATCATTAGCAACTGCATCACGTAAATGAACGTATTCTTCAACGCGCAGCTTCTTTTGATTTAAGCGAATGAAAAGAAGACGCTCACTTTCGACTTTCGCGTAAATGTCTACAATAAACTGTTGGAATAATTCACGACATTTTAAGATATGATTGGATTCATTTCCACGAATCATAATGCGGTTTGTATAATAATCCATGCAGGACACTTTCTTTGTCGTCGTTTCACTTGTGCTGGGGTCGACTTGCCTGATGTTGAAATGATATCCTTCTTCTCCATGGGGAAACAGCACTGGATATTGGAGTGCATCATACGATCGATGTGTTTCCGATACTCTCTGTACATTAGCATTTCGCCGGTGGATAATGATGTCACGTCGATCGAATTCGGTGCCAACTATTACAATTGCAACATCCCCTGTTACTGGAGCATTGAAGCGCCTTTCATGTTCACCATCAGGAACTTTGTCTGCTCTAATAACAACACTATAGTCATCTGATGGCATTTGATCCAGAGCTGTTTTAAAAAGGCGAATCAAATTGTTTTGTTCATGGAACATTGCCTGCAAGCTTGAAATGATCTCGCGTCGGATCCCAGAACTAATTGCGCAACGCTTGTCTACTTCCAGTGCATCATTTCCAGTGAAATAAATTTGCAGAAATTTCGCATCTTTTTGTGGCACTGCGAGCAATGAACCGATTTTGTGGTATATTTGGCCTTGAACTTTGAATGTTGGCATGTAACCGCCTTCAGATATAATTTTCGTTGCTCCAAACGAAGTCATTTGAAAGCAAGAGTTGTACTTGCGTATGTTTTTCAAAAAGTGGTTTGAAATAGGAGTTGTGCCAGAAAGGTAACTAAGTAGTGGTTCAGGTGCCTCAATTAACGATGGCAAAACTATTTTACCATTTGAACAACACATTCCTGGTGATTCCTTTGCAAACTTCAAAGCAGGGCAATGCAAACAAACTTTATTCATCGGTCCAATGGCGACATCTGCATGATTTTCGTAGTCTCTGTTTTTGTCATAATTGTATGCCGCCAACATTAAATGTGTTCTTTCTCTTGAATGGGTCAATCGTGATAGATTAGTGCGAAGCCGTTCGTTGCGTTGTTCGGGATTTTCAGAATCTCTGGAGGTTGAAGCTCTCACACGATTTTGTTGTAGGCGAGATTCTCGTTGTTC